GTTCAGGTGGAGCGAGGCTTGGTCCTCAGTAATGAGGGCGTTGCTTCAGTCGGTCATGGTGAAGAAAGAGTTGAGTTGAAACAGTTCAGGTGGAGCGGGGCTTCGTCCTCAGTAATGAGGGCGTTGCTTCGGTCATGGTGAAGAAAGAGTTGAGTCGAAACAGTTCAGGTGGAGCGGGGCTTCGTCCACAGTAATGAGGGTGTTGCTTCAGTCGGTCGAGGTGAAGAAAGAGTTGAGTCGAAACAGTTCAGGTGGAGCGGGGCTTCGTCCTCAGTAATGAGTTTGTTGCTTCTGTCGGTCATGGTGAAGAAAGAGTTGAGTCGAAACAGTTCAGGTGGAGCAGGGCTTCGTCCTCAGTAATGAGGGTGTTGCTTCGGTCGGTCGAGGTGAAGAAAGAGTTGAGTCGAAACAGTTCAGGTGGAGCAGGGCTTCGTCCACAGTAATGAGGGCGTTGCTTCGGTCGGTCATGGTGAAGAAAGAGTTGAGTCGAAACAAAGCTCTGGTCTGTTAATGCTCTAACCCTCACCTGCGTTCACGAGGTTCTGGATCCAAGCGGCTGAAATGAGGTTCTTTCGTAGGCTCAGTATTAGAGATGGGGGTGGGGGTGCCATCAACCTGGGGGGAGCCCAGATTAAAGCTGCTGCTCCTCATCATAAGGAGTCAGCCGAGGAGGTTCATCAGGTTAGGATGCTTCCTGTCCCTTTAGAGGTTTTCCAGGCTCCTCCCTGAAGACACCCAGAAGTTGTCTGGTCCGGGAACATCTCAGGGTCTCTGGGGATGCTGCCACCGCCGTGTTTGAGTCCAGACCTCAGTCAGGAGGAATTTCTTCTCGTGCAGTGAAAATATTCTGTTTGGTCACGTGACGTTCTCTGTCCCTCTCTGCAGGCTCATCACACAGTCTGGAGGAAACTCAGACAGCGGGCCCAGAACCTGGTAAGAACAGAACCTGGATCTGTCGTCGCATCAGAGCTGAGTTTCTGGAGTGGGGGATGGGTGGGTGGGGGGGGGTCCAAACTGCTGCCCGTGTCTCGTTCATCCGGCTCCGACACGTCTCGTATCACAAAGCAGCCAGAGGTTTTACGCTCATTACGGCGCCAGGGGAGATGCATCGTGGGTCGTAATCTCCAGGAAACAGCAGGTCCCGTCCACCTCGTGAAGGACGAGCTGCTGTTCACTGAACGAAACATCAAACACGTAGACGCTGACGGGAGAGTCGGAGGGGGAAAAAAAAAGTTGTTAAATCTCCACGCGAGGCGTCGTTTGGATCCAACCTGCTCCGGCTGCGTAACGGAAAGAAGAAGAAGCTCCAAATATAAAGTAGGTTAAGAGGAGTCGTCAAGACGGAGTGCATCTCTGCAGCTTCGTTGCTCAATAAAAACAAGACGTTCATTAACAGACTCGTAACGTGGCAGCTGAGGACGTGGTGCGTCTGTGGCCTGCGTCTTACTCAGGTTTGTTCAGGGAGCTGAAGTATCTGAGAGTTGTAGAAACGTTTCAGCTCCTGGAGGTCACAGATGTGTGTCCTATCAACGCCCTAAACGGTGCAGTTTTCCGTTTAACGTGTTCCCCGACCGTCCTCGAGTTAAAACAACTAATTTAAGACCGATCGGGGGGAGAGCTGTAAACTCTGCCAGGACTGGAGGATCTTTGCAGGACGTGTATAGAAGCAGCTAACTGGAACCAAACCAGCTGTTCGACTTGAAATACCGTATTTTTTTAGCCAATAAGTCACAGTTTTTTGCGTAATTTGCATGCTCTGCGACTTATACACCGAAGCGACATATTTATGGATTATTTTCCATATTTATAAACCAAGATATGAAAGTTTTCATTCATTCTGACTAAAAATATTGAGCACTACCATTTTCAGCCACTAGATGACACTCGAGTAGTATGGCATGCCATTGTGTCATGTAATAGGTAAAAGTGGCAATTAATGACACAATCGGCTTGCCAGAATTTTCAGCCATTAGATGACACTCGAGTAGTATGGCATGCCGTTGTGTCATGTAACAGGTAAAAGTGGCTATTAATAACACAATCGGCTTGCCATAATTTTCAGCCATTAGATGACACTCGAGTAGTATGGCATGCCGTTGTGTCATGTAATGGGTAAAAGTGGCAATTAATGACACAATCGGCTTGCCATAATTTTCAGCCATTAGATGACACTCGAGTAGTATGGCATGCCGTTGTGTCATGTAATGGGTAAACGTGGCAATTAATGACACAAGCGGCTTGCCAGAATTTTCAGCCATTAGATGACACTCGAGTAGTATGGCATGCCGTTGTGTCATGTAACAGGTAAAAGTGGCTATTAATAACACAATCGGCTTGCCATAATTTTCAGCCATTAGATGACACTCGAGTAGTATGGCATGCCATTGTGTCATGTAATAGGTAAAAGTGGCTATTAATGACACAATTGGCTTGCCATAATTTTCAGCCATTAGATGACACTCGAGTAGGATGGCATGCCGTTGTGTCACGTAACGGGTAAAAGTGGCTATTAATGACACAATCGGCTTGCCATAATTTTCAGCCATTAGATGACACTCGAGTAGTATGGCATGCCGTTGTGTCATGTAATAGGTATAAGTGGCTATTAATGACACAATCGGCTTGCCATAGCCTGCCACCTTTGTCCAGCTCACCTGGAGCAACCATCAAATTAGCTTAATTTTGCTGCGCCGCCCCAGAGAAATGCAGTTAATTTGACCATTGAAGTGAATTTATTAAGTAAAAGTTCAACTGAGACACACCTTTACTATAATGTCAAGCAAACAAATAATTGTTTTTTTAAGTGTTAATCTTGTTAAATTCTTGTTAAAGTCCTCCCGTGCACGCTCCCGCGACCGCCATTTGATTTTTGGCACAACATTTCCAGGTTGTCAGCGCTGACACGTAACAAACGTAACACGTCAGTGGTGACTACAGCTGGGCGATATGGACCAAAATTAATATCGCAATATTTTTATAAGAATCGTGATATACGATATATATCTTGATATTATTTCTTTCCATAACGTAATAACAAAAATATATTTGAGTCAAAGTTTTGTCCCAGTTGTCACACAGGCACATAAATGCCTAAAAAATAAACTTATATTAAATATTTTATTCTTTAGACATCTATTTACATATATTAAATAATAATCCTCTTCAGCTGGGGCAGCTGTGGTTGAGAGGCTAGAGCAGTTGTCCTCCAATGGGAGAGTTGGGGGTTCGAATCCACCAGCAGTCACATGCTGAAGTGTTCCTGGGCAAGACACTGAACCCCTCATTGCCTCTGATGTGTGTCCCATCGGTGTATGAATGTGATAAAGCTCTGAATATTCTTTGTAGAGATCTAGTAGAGGGCATGAATGGGTAAATGAGGACAGATTGTGTAGTAAAGAGCTTTGAGTGTCTGAATAATATAGAAAGGCTCTATACTTGAAGCTGCAGCTCCGACAGACCTGACGCCTTCCTTGAAATAAACCACGGTTCAGAGCTCATTCAGCCGTGCTGTGCCTTTTAGAGGAACAGAGAGAGGAAGCGCAACGTTAATAAATCAACAGTTTATCATATCGCTAAAGACACGGTCCCGTCAACTGTGGAACAAGACAGCTAAAGCGTTAGCCGTCTTGTTAGCCGCTTTGTGTTTGTGTTCGAGGAGGTAGAAAGAGGGGGGCGAGTGGGAGAAAAGACGGCAGGATTTCCAACTATAAAACTCGTTTTATATCGAGATAGTCTCAAGTTATATCGCATAAAAAAAAATCATCTCGATATTTTAAAAATATCGAGATATTGCCCAGCCTTAACATAATAGATGTGACGTATACGGCGGAAAATACGGTACTCTCCTTCTGTCGGTCTTGTGAGCTCGATGACTTGAAAGGTAAAAAAAACGTATTGGCGTTCGTTTTTTTTTTTTTTTTTTTGCGAGGGGCTTCATCTAGGTGCGAGAAAGGGCGCTGTCGAATATTGTGTTGCCACGTCAAAATCCAAGATGGCCACCACCGTATATATGTGCAGATGCATTAAAACAAAATTTGAATATCGTGAAAAAAGAGATGGAGTGAGAGAGAGGGATAGAGGAGAGAGATGAAGTGAGATAGAGAGGGAGAGAGAGATGGAGTGAGGGAGAGAGATGAGTGAGAGAGGAGAGAGGATGGAGTGAGAGAGGAGAGATGATGGAGTGAGAGAGATAGATGGAGTGAGAGAGGAGAGATGATGGAGTGAGAGATGATGGAGTGAGAGAGATAGATGGAGTGAGA